CGCTATAAAAATTTAGATGATTATTTAAACTAACTTAAAAAAATGATTTGTTACAATAAATGAATGGATGATGAGAACTTACAAATATTGATGGAGCATCTGGCCTTTTTGTTTGGAGTGACGTCTTCTTTTTTCTAGTTCGCTGGTTTTGTATCCGCTGTACCTGCTTGGCTTGTTTCTAATTGACCCGTTCGTTCGCGAAGAGGTGTTGAAATTTCAGCTCAAAATTCAGGATTTCTTTGTTCTTCTGACGAAGAAATGGTTACCACTAAGCTGGGTGTACAATTTTTTTCTTGGATCCTTTCCACTTAAAAGCCTGGAGGCTTCTCCTGTGTTCTCTCGTATGATGCACAACTGGTGTGAAGATCCCACTTCTGACACCAATAAGTCCATATATCTGACTTAATGGAAACAGCTGCAGCGTTTAAATTTTTTTGTAATTCGGTCGCATATGTCTGGTATTATTTATTCAGTCATTTAAGTGCGACTGGGCAACTTGTACCTCGGCACAGCTTTTTGCATGAGCCTATTAAATCCAACTCGACAGTTTAGTGAGTGGCACATGATTCCCTTCAGATAAATCAAAAAAGTAAAATACAGGCAGTATAAACAGATTATAATTTTTTTCACTTTCCCGTGATAATTCTTTTTTTACTTTATGATTTTTGACATTGGAGATTTCTGGTGCCGGATTCATTACTTTCAATTGTGCTTTACTCTGCTCACTTGTTCTACAATAATCAGCTGCCTTTTGTAGTGTTAAATTTTCTAACCTTAATAGTCCTTCTTGAAAATTCTTGTCAAAAACACCATGCACAATGCGGTCCCTGATTAGCTAATCTTTAATGCTTTCGCTTTTGATATTATAATTACAAGTTTGTATTAATGATTTGAGATCCGTTAGAAATAACTCAAACGGTTATTTTTTTTTGACATCTACTATTGAATTTGTACCTTTCGAAAACTTCGTTTTGTTATATATATTTTATGAATGTAAAGATGACGATTGTGACCATAAGCAATCTTCCATTGCATTGGCATTTTTCAACTTCTGTATTTGTTCGAGTAGTTCTCCCGCAGCCATGATCCGAGACACTCGCCCACATTTAAAATTCATTTTCGTGGATTAAATAAAATTTTTTTTTTTAAAAAGCGACAATTCGTTTTACACATGGACATACATATTTTTATTTTTCCGCCATTACGCTTACATAGTCATAGGATCGGAAATATAACCATTTTGACATTGTTAAGATACTTCATTCTTATGACATTCCTACTTACAATCAATTGACCTGCATGATTTAACCTTTATATTTAATTTAAAATGCTTATTGTAAAAGACTTGCCGAGTGTAACCTTCTGAGTTATATGGCCAATAAATTATTTGATTTGATTTGATCGGCAGTGTAGCCAAGACTCGTATAGATTCTATACCAATCATATTTCTTAATAGAGACAATTTGATTTTAGCAGTGGCACTATCTTTACTTGTGCACAATAAGTAGTCTTCGAAAGAGGTTTTCCAGACTTTTCATTCCGATTGCCGAAACGAATATTAAAATTGGGTAGCAATTTTACTTGACCTTCCATAATGTAGAATCTCTCTCTTGTAGAGTCTGGCAAGCGAAACGTGTCACAAGAAAAGGGCGGCAATTTCAAAAATTCTTAAGCAGTAAACACTGAATGTAGTACTGCAAAATAATTTTGATACTTTTATTAATTATATTTAATCTTAACATTTAGATATCAATTAAAATTATTTGTTTTGGAACATTTGACTAAAGCGTGACTGTTCTTAATTGTACAGTTAACAGCATATCAGTAGGCCTATTCACTAACTCAACTGACAACCAAGAATCGTCATCACCGTAAAAAATAGACACTTTGATTGTGTCAAAATCACTATTTCGTATTCTCGATCAATGATGAGCAATTTCGAAATGTCAATATCGGCATTCTCCACTGGACTCCATTTTGACACTTGATTTCGTATCGATAAACTGTATTAAAGTAACATTTTTGCAAAGCATATTTGAAGTCGTCGCATAGTACCTCTTAAGCCATTTGTTGTTAAATTAAAGCGAAAAAAAATACGTATCCAATATTTTTCTATTATCTGACTGACGGACTAAATCGAATCTTTTTTTTAACCCATTCGTTATACCTATTGGCTAACAGCACTTATAATATTAAAAATTCATATTTGTCATTAATTAAAAGGGTGTTTTTTGCAACGACTTCTTTGTTTTTTTGTAATGAATATGGGCGACTCTGGCCACATTTTTTTAATAAATGTGATGTTAGCCAATTTTGATTTCTGGCCCTTATATTTATAATGTGTTCATAACACATACATGTCTCCTAAGGGATTTTCATCACAACCTTTTGCTCTGATCCAGAACCACTATCTATCAAATTAAATTAGTCAATATAAACACCAGATTACAATAAAAAAAACATTTATTTTTGTTACAATTAAGTGCCATGGATAAATTACATAATACAGGTGTCACAAAATCATCATGTTAATCACAATAGAAAATTTAAGATAAGATTTTGACTATGAATCAGACTAAAAATACTTTAGTCTGATTCATAGTCAAAATCTGTTTCTAAATATTCTACACCTGATAACAATGACAAGGAATCATCAGAGTCACTCTCTTCACTACTGTCTGCACCAACAGATATAATAAATTTTTCAAGTTCGTTTTCAACAATGCCATCTTTTAATTTGTAATCATTTTCGACATTTAAAACATGATCAGTGTATTTCTTCCAGTCACTAGGGGTAATTAAGTTAAAACACTCTATTATTAAGTTTTCCATTTCCTTTCCTGGTATTCCAATGTTTCTGCTTGCAATTTTTCTTTTTGCTTGACTCCAAACCATCTCTATTGGGTTTAAGTCACAATGATACGGTGGCAGCAATAAAAGTTCATGATTATGTTCTTTTAAAATCTCTTCAGCTTCATATACAGGCAATGTTTTCTTATCATTTACACTGGGCTTACTTAAATTTGGTATTAATTTTTCTCTGACCCATTTCATAAAGTTCGATGAGTTCATATCATCATGATAATCAGCAGATTTGGATTTACTACTGAACACTAATAATGCACCAGGCACAAAACCTTCCTCAGATCCAGCATGCACAACAATATGCCGTTTTCCAGAGGATATCTTTGTAGTGACACCAGTTGTTGAAGGTCCTTGCCAAGACTTTTTAACTTTATAATTCTGATGTACATAAGTTTCATCAAGGTACACAATTTGCTTTCCTTCGTTTCGTTTTATATTTATTTCTCTCAAATACTTGTGCCTCCATGCAGAAATCTGGTATTTTTCTATAAGCATAGAACGTTCATTTTCATTGCTTTTAAAAGAAAATCCATTCTTAAGCATAATTTTTCGTAAAGTCTCACGGCTACCACTGAATCCTATTGCATCTTTTAATTCATTGTGAAGGCTTCTTAATGTTGGAACAATTTTTTTCACACAGTAAAATTCATTTACTTTATTCCGAATTGCACTTAAATCAAAATTATCTAAAGCAGACACTGTTGGTTGATGAGGTCGTTTTTTCCCAGGAGTGTCCCATTTTCCTTTATTAATTAATGCTTCATTTTTTATCCTTCTTAGTGTCCTTATACTTACATCTATAAAAGATTAAACACTTTGAAACAAAGATATGTTAAATGTATTTAAAAGCAAATAATGATAGACACATACATCAAAATAATTTAAATACCTATTCAACTATGAATGCAATTTATGTTTAATTTAGTTAAGTTTATGTGCATATTTAGCATGTATAACAATTACATGGTTTGATTAGTTTCATGAATTCTGTGAATTTCCTTGTTAAACAAAACATTCTTATGACATCATTGGATGTCAACAATAAAAACCAATACATCATAAAAAACCTATGTAAATATTATAGGAATACTATCAATCTATCTTAAATCAAAACAAGAAAAGAGACCTGTCATTGAAGAAATTTTTTGTAAGTACTGCGTTTCCGAATTCAGCATTTCTTGTTTTTCTAAAGTTTTTATTGCATTTATCTCCTCCATTATTGGTTGAATATCACCATCACAGTTATCTGAAATAGAGCAATATTTTATAAAAAATATCTGTTTAGTTAATTACAGAAAATTAAAACGAAAGTATCAAAATTATAATACAAAACTAACCTAAAAAAGATACAACTTTATCTAATCGTTGTAATTTCTCCATGAAATTTTTATTTAATTCAGTTTTCACTTCAGTAAACTTGTCAATCATGATGGAAAGAAGTTTCCTCGATGAACTTTTTATCGGCTTCGACATAATTTTTAACCAAAAACACAAGTTCAAATTCGCAAAAACAACAAAATTCAATATTCTTGAATTGTCTAACGTAGTGTCAAACTGACAGTTCTATGTTGTTGCCATATGAAAACGGAAAAATAGGTGGTGTCACGTTTCGCTTGCCAAACTCTATTTACAACTTTTATCAGAAATACTTTTTGTTACGACTGCGCCATGTTTTATAATTAAAGTCTTTAATGTTTTTAATTAATTTAATTTTCTTCTGATTGACGATGCACACAGATACAGATACAATCACAGACCTTTCACCGGAAACATAGACTCGACCTAGTCAAGTATGGGCGAACGGCAGACTTCATAAAAAAGAATTTATTTTATAAATTTTATTACATAAATTTTACACACTAGTGCTCATGATCGAGCCTTCCTTAATACTAACGTCGGGTGATCCGACATCTGACCTTACTACTAGAGTTACTAAAGTATATATTGTCGTTTATTGTTAATGTCAGCTCTTTTATATCTTGCATGCAACAAAGGTGTTTGTTCTTTAGTATTCGCTGTAATTGTACCGGATGCTATTAATGGTTTTGTTTTGGCTAAATGATTGCAACAAAGTATTTAATCGATTCCCGAAATTTAATACAATGGATTCTTATGCTGCATACATATATTCTTAATTATGTACTGACATTCACAACACGTGACAAGGGATGAGCCATCATAACTCCTCCCTCCTTAAGTTCGAAATTCTCTGAATTTTCGTTTTTCTGAGAATTTCGACCCCTTTTATTACATTTATGTTTTTTATATTTACGAATAATACAAATTAATATAATTATAACAATTACTGGATACAATATAATAGTTCCTATACTAATGCTTTTAGTATTTATAGATTCTTCATAATTTCCTGAGTTTTCTTCAGTTTTCCGTAGTGCGTACGTTAATAGCTGCAGATTTTCTAAATTTACATCGTCCAAGTTAACGGGCTTCATTTTCGTTGCGGACTTGATCTGTGGTAATTCAGGAAGCTTGATTTTCGGTGATTTTTCATATTGAAATTGTTTTCCATTAGTAGTGTGACTTTTCAATTTGATGCTATTGATCGTAACTTCACAACTACCGTCTACGACAATTACGTATGTTCCCAATAAGTAATTTTTCACTATTTCCCCTTTACAAGTTTCCTTTAATACGACTGTTTTTCTTCTAGAAGACCATAGTTTTTTTTTATCTCTGTTTATAATGTATTGATCTGGTAATGACATGGTTTTTGTAAATGTCATTACTCATATTAGAGCTGGTGAGTTTCTTGCTCGTTCTTCTTATCAGCCAAAAGACGTCCTGAACGAGTGGTAGGGAAAAAATGTTGGACGATTCAAAAGTACTTTTAAGAAGTCTATTTGAATAAAGATTATTTTGACTTTGACTTTGACTTTGAGTATACTATCCATCTATTTTTATGTATCGGGTGTATTATAAGACTGTTAATTTCCACTGAAACTGGGTTGCATGTTGTAATATTTGTTTCAAATCGCATGATACTTGATATACATGGATCTTCTATATGATAAGGTAAGTTGATTTCATGACATAGGTAATAGTTTTCTTCTAATTCTTTGCATGGTTGGGAAAGTGATCTGGTTTTCATTTCCTTTACTAGCAGGTAGGGATATTTAGGTGGGATTATGGTAGTTAGGTTTTTATGATACACAGGTAAGGGTAAGATTCTATAGTAGTTATATATTTCTTTTGACACCAACGGAATACTTAGTATGAACGTTATTTGTTTCTCTTTAAAATATTGTTTGCTCTATTTTTACTAAATTCCTTAACTTGGCTGGATAGACAAGTGTTTCACTGTTTTCAATTACCTTTAATATTTTTAACAATTCCTTATTATTAATTATAGATTGATGTAGTACTTTTACTCTACTAAACGCTGTAGCAGTCTCATTTTCATCCAATTTGATAAGTATAGTTTGAAAGTTATGTAAAAATAAATTATATATGCTTAATATTTTTAATTCTACTTGTAGGGTAGTGGTTTGATTCAATTTTCCTTTTATATAGTCCATTTGTTTCTTAATTTTGATGAAATTGTTCCTGATACTCTTAGTGTTATTAGTTATTATACCCGCCATTTCGGTTAATATAGTTACTTTATTTGTTAACTTTTTTTGTTCGGTTTTTAATTTACCTATTAGATCATCATACTTCAATGCATCATCGTTATCTAAGTTATTTGTGATAGCTTTAACAAATGAACCTAAGGGATTTATTAAACCTCGTTTACGCCTTGACGTTGGCACTAGTTGATTACATCTTTCTATAGCTAACTGTTTAGTTTTATCAACTTGTGTCTTTGTATCATGAAAATCTGAAGAATTTCCTATTTCAAACTTATTAGAAATGTATTGGTTAAATTCCTTATACTTTACTTCGTTATAGTTTAAATCTTCTTTAATAATACTTAAATCTAATGTTTTTATTACTAACCACTCATCTGCGCTTATTAACGCTTGACCTTCTTTAATAGGCAGTATGCCTGGGTTTTCATTTATCTTGTCTATTTGAAGGGCCTGGCTGAGGATCACTTGGATACTGAGGAGGCCGTACCTGTGAAGGGCGTTTTATATCTTTAATGGGTATTTTACTAATTCTATTTTTTGATATTGTGGGTACTATATTTCGTGAAGATTCTCCGATTATTTGAGCTTTTTGATATCGCGGTTTATCTTTAGATCTACGGGTATTTGTTCCTTTTATAAACACTGTATCGCCTACTTCGATTGAGAATTCCTTTTCACCACCACGTTTTTCGCGTGTTGCATCTTTTTGTTTTGTTATTCTTTCTTTTATAAAGTTATATAGGTGCTTGGTTCTTTTTACATGTTCCCTAACAAGTTGTTGCGTAAATTGTTTGTGGTATTCACAATTAAATATATTGTTACAATCTGTATGACCTAAAGTTACTTCAAAAGGTGTTAATCCTGTCGTTGAATGAATAGTTTGATTATAAGCTAAGATCGAGTATGTCATTACAGATGCTACGTCAGTCAATTTCTTTTCATATTTTGCTATTCTATATATTTCTAGGATTGTAGAGTGAAATCTTTCCACTATTCCCATTGAATTTGGGTTATGGGGCGTTCCTATGTGTAGATTGATTTTATGAAAACTTAGCATTTCTTTTAATAGTGCATTGTTGAATTCTGAACCGGGATCGGTACTTATTTTACTAGGGGTCCCGTAAAATGAAAAGTATTTTAATAATGCTCTTACTACTTCCGGTGTAGATCTATTCGAGATTTCTATAGCTTGTCCTAATTTGCTAAACGCGTCTACTATAGTGAGATAATATCTTCCTTCGATACTAAACAAATCCATAAATAATTCTTGAAATGGTTTAGATTGTGTTTGTGTTAGCTGTAACTCTGGTTTAAAGGGTTTCCTATCATATTTCATTTTTTTACATGTTTCACAAGAATTTATTATACTGGATACCATTATATCCATATTATTCCAAAAATATGTTCTTTTTATGTTAACTAATGTTTCCTTAATACCTCTATGACACATTTTTCCTTCATGATATTTTGTTATTATTTGTTTTTGCTCGTCTTCGTCGTCTACGAAAACTACACGCTGTATGCATTCGAAAAATTGGACAGAACCTTTCTTGAATAATACAATGACTGCTTCTACAAATTGTTTTCTGTGAATATCGCTTTCAAAGTAAATAAACTGTCTCGATTTAGGTCTTACGTATTCTTTAAGAAATTGTTTTATTAGATCGGGTTTATTCAAAGGTAAGTGTACTTCCAAAACTCTTTGCTTTAATCTAGATATATTTTTTACTGCAATGTCATTAAGATCCCACGTGAATATTAACATTTGATTTGGTTTAGTATCTATAGCTTCATTTAAAATGGGTATACCTATGGTTTCTATATCTTTTGCGGAATGGATTGTGTCTGTATTGACTGATTCTGTTGTTTCAGGTGCTGAAATTGTGCTACTGTTACTTGAAGGCATAATTGAATATGGTGAACCGATTTTTTGTGTTTTCCCGGATTTTTCTGATCCTGATGATATCGTTATAGGGCTAGGTGATCTAGATCTCTCTATGTTTACTTGCATTGAACTAGAACTATCTTTTATTAACGCGTTTACTCGTATTCTTGATAAGGCATCGGCATTACTATTTTGTTTACCGTTTTTATATAATATTTCGTAATCAAATTCCGACAATCTTAACTTCCATCTAGTCAATTTACTATTGGGTTCCTTTAATGAATTCAACCATGCTAATGGTCTGTGATCTGTATAAATTGTGAATTTCCTACCATACAAATAAGGTCTAAAGTGTTTTACTGCCCATACTATGGCTAAAAGTTCTTTTTCAATTGTACTATATTTAGACTCGGCTTCGTTTAACGTCCTGCTTGCATACGCTATTGGTTTATCGCCACCGACTGTTCCTTGCGAGATTACTACGCCTATCGCATGATTTGAAGCGTCTGTTGTTAATATGAAAGGTTTTGTGAAATCTGGGTATTGCAAAAGTTGTGCATTAGTTAAAAGCTCTTTACATTGTTGAAACGATTCTTTATATTTATCATTTATAACTATTCCATTCTTTTTCTTTAAACATGAGGTTAGTGGTTGCGTTATTTTAGCGAAATCTTTTATGAATTTTCTATAGTATCCTATTAATCCTAGAAAGCTTTTTATTTCTGTCGTTGTTTTTGGGATTGGGAAATTTAAGATTGCTTTAATTTTGTCATCATTTGGTTTAAGACCTTCTTTCGTTATTGTATGTCCTAAATATAAAACTTCCTTGCGTAAAAAATCAGATTTATCTAATTGTACTTTTAAATTGGTTTCTCTCAATCTATCAAATACTTTCCTTAGTTTTTCTAAATGTTCTTGTAAGCTAGTACTAAATATGATTATGTCATCTAAATATACTAAACAATGTAATCCTTGTAGACCTCGTAATATGTTATCCATAGCTCTTTGAAATGTAGCTGGTGCTGTTTTTAAGCCAAAAGGCATTCTAAGGAATTCAAAATGACCTGCTTGTGTGCTGAAGGCTGTTTTTTGTCTATCTGCTTCTTCAATTTCTATCTGATGGTAACCGCTAGCTAGATCTATGGTACTGAAATACATTGATTTTCCTAGTTTGTCAAAAAGATCTGCTATATTTGGTAATGGATATTTATCGTCAGTGGTTATTTCGTTTAATCGTCTATAATCTATTACCATTCTAAACTTTTTTTCTCCAGATGCATCGATTTTCTTCGGAACTAAATGAACTGGTGCATTCCACGGTGAATGCGATTCCTGGATTACGTTATCTGTTAATAGTTTTTCTACTTGTTTATTTATTTCTTCACTTTGTGAAGGTGGTAACCTGTATGGTCTTACGTATATAGGGTCCTCATTTTTAGTTCTAATTTGATGTTTAACTTTATTTGTGAATGATAAAGGTAATTGTTCTGAATAAAATATATCTTTATATTCTTTACATAGATTTTGAATTGCCTCTTTTTCCTCTATTGTCATGTGATCCAATCTTAGTTTTTGTAATTTTCTAATAATATTTCATCTATATGTGTATTATTTTCATGAAACTTATTTATGTTGTTTACGCGAATTGACTGTTCGTATTTAGTTGTTTTAAAAGGTTTTGTAATGGAAATTGTAATATGGTTATTAGAGGCGTTTTGAATTATCGTTTCTGCAAATCCGTTTTTACATGTCACTAAAGCGCTAGGCATTCTATCATTTTGACCAAAATTTGTTATAATCTAATATCGCGTTTCCGTCTTGTAAATCAGTGGGTAATTTAACCTTTGTTTCTGTTCTAGGAGATAAGTGAATTTCGCATGGTGGGTCGTATACTATAGGTATTTCGGTATTTTCTGTTTTTAAAACTAATTTGTTCATATCAATTGTTGCACCTAAATGTTGTAATAAATCACTACCAATTAAACCGTCGAATCTATCATCCACACTGTATACGTAAAATTTGTGTAATCCGGTTGTTTTGAATGATTTTAGCATTGGTATACATATTACTTTATTATGGCGACTACGAGCATGTGTACTGATTACTTCGAATGGTTCTTCATATACGCGTGAGCCAAAATATTCATTAACCTTTCTTGGACTTATAAATGACCTGCTACTGCCTGTGTCTATCATGAATTTAGATTTTATTTCTGGAATTACAATGTGTGGCAATTTTAAAATGCCGTCATAGTTGAGGTTTATTATTTGATATCCTGATACGTTGAGGCTTTTATGTGAAAATTTTCGTCGTTTTGTGACTCTTCATTTGACATTTCTGGTTCATAATTTTCGTAATATTGTTCATTGTATTGTTCCTCATTTTCGTAGTAATTGTAATATTCATTCTCAGGATCGTAATAAGGACACTCGTCGGTTTCTGAATTTATCATATTTTGTCGCACGGGCGCCGCGGAACGCATGGAAACATCCGTGTCTAATTTATAAGATGGGTGTTGCCCTAAAGGAGGCTGATTAGCTCCGAATTTAAAATTTGGATTTGGGGGATTATGAAAATAGCCAAACTGAGGTCTATTAAAGCGTTGCTGTGGATTGTATGGTTGTTGACGATAA